TATGGTGGACTACTAGGGGCCCTGCCCCGATGTTCAAAAGACAATGCAAAAGCAGCTATGTCCTCTACTCTTCAGGCCGCCATGCCTGACTCTGCCCTGAAGCCTTCTTGATGTAGTGCTACCTCAGTTGGGGGCTTCCAGATGCTGTGCCTACCAAGGAGATGAAGATGGCACCCACCATAGCCAGGTAAGTACCTCTGGCCACTCTCCTCCCTAGTCCCCTTCTTTCTCTTCCTCCCACCAGGCGCTGTCCACCATAGCCGAGGAGGAAGCCCTGGCGCTCCTCTCACCCAGAGCTGCACACTAGTGCTCCTCCAACCAGTGCTCCAGCAGCATGATGCCCAAACTTGCATGCAGCAAATGAGGAAGGGCAACTCGCTCTTCCCTCTGAAATACCGGGTAAGCAGCCTCTTGAGCAGTGACTTCCAAGCCACGCGGTCTCCCAAGCAACCGGTACCTCCTCCCTTTTGGAGGGAAACATCATTGCAGACCTCATATCTAGCGCTACAGGCCCTCGGCTCAGCCTATCGGACCACTATCCCTGAAGGTACCAACTTTTTGTCTTCTTCTGCTCGGCATACTGCTACTCGAGTACTACCGGGCCTACACTACCGCTACTTGAGTGTGCCCTAAGCTACCCCTTCGCCCACTTGAGTGTTTTTCCCCACTGCAACCCTAAAAAAAAGCCACGGCCACAGGTAAGTACAGGCCCCGTGGGCCTCACAAACATACAAGTGCCCTGGCGGGTCACACACACTCAAGCACTTGGGCACTCAGCAAAACACACGGAAACCAGCAAGCATGAACACACACAGAAGGTGGGAATCTCAGCTAGTCACACATTCCAGCGGCAAAACTGAGAAATCAGTAGTTTTGAAGTTTTCTCAGTTCGGGGTTTTGGTGGTTGTTACAATCTTAAACAAAGGACTTTGAAACCATGCCAGACCACACAACAGTCATATTTAGAAAGACCGTACACTCTCTGGTGCTGCAAAACCGTGTGTTTTTGTATGCAGTTGATAAGAAGAGGAGGAGCAGGAGGAGAATGAGGACAAGGAGAAGGAAGAGGAGGAGGAGGAGGACGAAGAAGAGGAGGAGGACAAGGAGAAGGCGGAGGAGGAAGAGGAGGAGGAGGAGGAAAAGGACGAGGAGGGGAGGAGGAAGAAAAGGGGGAGGAGGAGGAGCAAAAGGAGGAGGAAGAAAAAGTCAAGAAGGAGGAGGAGGAGGAAGAAGACAAGGAGGTGAAGAGGAGAAGCAGAAGGAGGAGGAGGAGGAGGAGGAGGAGAAGGAGGAGGACGACGGTGAAGGGAAGGTGACTCACCTGGCGCCGGCGGGCGATGGCGCGTGGGGTTGCACTCGACGGCGTCGGAGTTTGGCAACGGCAACACCAAACTCCGCCTACAGCGTGAGGGCCAAGATGCGCACATGGGAGGGTGTCAGAGCCCCCAATTTCGAATTTGAGAATGGCCCAATCTGGGCCGTCGATCTCGCAGATCTGACGGGCCAGACTGGGCCGTTTTTCTTTTTGCATTTGGAGGCCCTACCGGCCTCCAATAACTTTACCCGCCGCCTCTGCCCGCAGTCCATTCCTGAGGCACCCAAGTCCCCATCCCAGTGCCCTGCCCAATTTTTTTCAACAGTTGGACCGAGGGGCCCGGACGAACGGGCGACCGGTTGTCCGATCGGACAGTCCCGAACGGTCAGGGGGTCCCGGACGTCCGATCCAGTAACGTAGGGATATTGCAAATAATCAACGAGGCCGCTCCTACTTGATATGGCCTCAAGTGAAAAGACACTATGAACTGTGTTCATGTATCTTCTTGGGGGCAAAAATCTTGGTTCAGCTAGATGGCTTGCTCGGTATCCTTGTATTCGATAAGACTTGAGGGTTGGGTACAATATCCAAGCACCTCCTCTGATGCTTTGGCCCATCAGTTCATTGGCGTTCTTACAGGACAGGTGACAAGGTTTGAGCATATCTGTTGTAATATTTCCAACTTCAAATTTGCAGTGACCAATCTGACGTGGTGCATGCTCACTACCGTCTTCCCTTGAATAGAACGTACGGCGATTATCGCTGTATCTAGACTGGAAATCGCCCCAGATACAACTTCAGTGACCATGCGTTCTATTGGGGGGAAGACGGTAGGGGCCATCTGCCCAGCACTTTGGCTAGAGGATGATCTCCTACGTTTGTTACCAGCAGTGTCGGCTGCCCACTGACATCACCGCCTTTCCAACAGGTGCCATCTCATGGTTCACTGGTGGCGTGCCACTCTCTGTTAGCTGTCAATTCTGAGCGCATGCATCATTAGCTGTCCACTGAGCCAAGATTCCACCCAAAACTTGGACTGCTGCTGCAGGCAGCAGAATTGACTGCCAAAGGCATGCACACATGGAATATCCGCACTACGTCATTGGGAAGCAACCTGCCATCGCCGCTGCAGAGTTCACCCCACCACACATGGGAGAACAATCACATTCTATTCCTGCAAGTATCTCACAAGGAGGGAGGCTGAGTTATTAAGCTGAGCAAACAACCCTTCCTCCCACTGCTCCTCCCCTCACTGCTTCCCTGCGCCTCCACCACTCCCCTGACCAGCCGTCATCACTCCCTCCTCACCATCCTCCTCAAGAACTGCCTTCTCTCCCTCCTGTCATGCCTCCTCCTTGTTAATCATCATCATTATCATTGGCACACACATAATCAGACCATGCATCACAGATACCATGCTGATGTATGGCATTCCCCCTCTCCACCGCTGTCTCCCAGACACTGATCTTGCCTACATGATACGATATGGTGATCTGACCTCTGGTGGTGGGCAGACCTTGTTCGCCGCCATATTTGCAATGCCAGGAAATGTTGTCGTCGATCTCAATACTCACTGGCTTGGAACAGCATATATCAAGTCCGATTGTCCGCAATGCTGCAGCAATTTTTGTAGCACTGCTGGCCTGTGTCTGGACCAGACACTGTGCGGCCACCTCTGCGGAGTTCGCATGACTGGCAGCCGCCACAGGAGCGAGCTCGACTCATCAGTTTTCGCTCTCTGCATCTCTCCCCTCTACTCCTGATTCGCTTCCACCCGACAATTGTTACACATGACGATAACATCTCCCCCTCTTTCTACAGACCACAACGGTGCACCCTCTGACCATTAGCGGAAGACCAAGCTGATGGCGACCTGTTACATGCACAGATATGCAATGTATACAATAAACCGAGAATCTGCAATGTGATGAAAAGGACTGAATAGACAATGCGGTTACGAGAATCTCG